CAACTTGATCGGTTTTAAAATTATCAAAACCAAACCAAACCAAATATAATATACATTTATCGGTTTGGTGATTATCGGTTTCGGTTTGGTTTGGTTCGGTTATTCGGTTATTAATCATACACAAAAATAAAAGAAACAATTCATTTAAAATGTGAAAAAAGTGACAACAATCCATTCAAAACGAAAAATAGTTAGAATGACTTAAATTACTAAACTTTCAATCACTAAATTTACTATCAATAAAGCTTTAAAATTCACTATATTGGCCTAGAAGGAAGAGACAATAACATTTTCAGTCCCACAAAGAATTGATATAGACACTCATATACATGAAATCAATAAGATAAATGTTTCATCTTGGGCATTTTTGCTTTCAATAAGTAAATTATAAAGAAATTTTAATGAAAATATGTATAAGATCTTTAAAATTGTTTATAAAAATAATATATTAAGTATGTATAGTAATAAAATATATGTATATAATTCATCGGTTCGGTTCGGTTATTTCGAATAAAACCATAACCAAACCAAATACTATCGGTTTTCAAAAATCTAAAACCAAACCAAACCAAACCCAAATAAAATCGGTTTTATTTTCTCGGTTTGATTTGGTTTTTCGGTTTGAATCGGTTTTTATCCAAACCGTGAACACCCCTAGTCATGACAGTGAACACAATTAATAAAAATACGAAAAAATAGGAAGAAAATAAATGAAAAATATCATTGATTTGTATAGGAAAAACAACTATTACTACTTGTAGTTGAAAGTAACTTTAAAGAGAAAGATAGAATAAAAACTATATAAATTTTGTACTACGAATTAGGATTGAAATTTAGTCCAAAACTATGAATGGTGTTTTTATAAATATAAAACATTTGGTAATTTTTAAAAGTTCTCAAATAATAGAAATTGGCTCAAATACTAGTTTTTTCTAGTATTTGAAGATTTGAATTGTTTGCTAGAAAATTTGCCAAATAACGATAAGTTGTATGGCCAAACAATGTTTGTCAAGTTTTTCCCCAGAAAAGTATGTAGGACAATTCCTATTTGCATTTAGGCTTATTTTGAATATTTCTTTGTTTTCGTTCCTAAACGTAAGTCATCCTTATACTAATCTTTATTTTTCTTATCTCTTTTTTTTTTTTTTGCATGACTTCGATGAGTTCAATGGACTTTCTTCCCGCATTCTTGTTGGGCTGGACAGAGGCGAATTCAGAATTTGAAGATGATGAATATACCACCAATAACTAATACACGTTAATTAAAATATGTCATTCAATATTAATTCATGAAATATTTTTATAGGTAAAAATATAAAACTAATGTAATAACGTATAAACTTCATTTTGCATCAGTTTGTATTGAAAGATATCGGCCGTATATTACTTGTCTTGGGGCAATTGGGTAAAAACACGGCAAACACTTATCTCGGGATATATTTAAATGAGGAAATAAATAATTTCAAGACTATTCTAATTGGATAATTTATAAAAATTTTGCTAGTTTACAGGTTAATTATTTAAATATACAGTAATTTATAATATTACGAATCTTACTAGATTTTGATATATTCAGATACGTTCAGATGCACGTATCTCGGGATACACAAAATTATGCGTAATTTATTTTAGATATATTGTATCAAAGTGGATTTGTATGTATATGGGATACATAAACAACTCTCCCTCACCCCCCTCTTATCTTGCTCGCCACTCTCCTATTATTTGATATCCCAGATACATGCGAATCACACCAGATACATACATATACATGTATTCAGTGTGTATCTAATGTGATTTGTATGTATATGAGATACATAAACAAATCTCGCTCGCTTCCCTTTTGTTCTCACTCGCCTTTCTCCCTTTTACAGTGTATCCGATAGCAAAAAATATAAATCTTGGTGTGTCTGACTTAAAATTAGGTATGACATTACTAATTAGTGACATAAAATATAATTATTTCAAAATATAGGAAAAAATAAATATATTAGAAATATTTGTGTAATTAGATAATATCTCCGATTTAACACCTCTAACCAAATACAAGAAAAAATAATTTACATTTTATCCATTATTATCTCTTATTTTCCATATGCCAAACGATCCCACAAGTCTTTTTCTTTTGGAAAAAGGAGCTTCATAACAAATCAAGGAGAATAAAATATTTATTAGCTGATATTCATTTTTAAAAAATACAGCTCAACAATTATGTACGTGTATATTTTAAATATATACAATTTAAATTTTGTATACAATGATGAAAATAATTGAATCACATCGTAATGTTGTAAATAATACGATGTACCATATATGCTGGTCTTTTGTAAAAATAATTACAATGATAGAGTTATAATAATTTGTAAAAATTGTCAGATAGATTGCATTTGAACCTTGTGGTTCTTATAAGAAAATAAATTTGTCTTAATAAAAAATAAATTGGGAAGATAGTTTTAGTATATGGTGATTATAATATGTGTTGTTATATAAAAAAAAATGACGATATGATGTTGTGCTCTTGCCAATCTTTGAAAGTTACCTTTAAAATACTTTGTACCACAAGTCATGATAGCTTGGTGATAACTTGAATAATTACCCAATGATTCTCAAATCAAGATCTCTATAGCCTGAGATAAGCAACTCTTGATGAATTGGACACATATGACTCCACGTACTTGTAAAGAATTCGGATGCAATACTAATATTGTTTGGATCCCTAATTTGAATCCTATGTTACTATATATATTGTATGTTGTATTGTCATGCTCTGAGATTTTACTCTAGACATAACATCTTATAGAATATCAATGTTTGTACCAATCAATTCGGGAGTGGTCTTCCATATACCCTAGTTGTTAATGATATGGGGCCGGGTAGACCAGTGATCAATATGATTTTACTATGAATAAATTCTACCGAGTCAATAGAATGAGCTCGGATAAGTAGGGCTTTGACGCTGAAAAACGATTGAACGAAGAACTGAATTCGAGTTGGGTCATTTCGCTTTCTTTTTTTGATATGGGATAAAAATCTTGATCAGATGAAACTTTATCAAGCTTATGTTGGTTTATGGTGGAGTTGCGGAGGTTGTAGTTGATGGTGTGATGGCGATTGTAGATGGCACCGATAATTTAAAGTGAAGTGAAAAAAGGGTTAAAATTTCTAGGTTGTAATGAAAAGAACAAGGGCTTTGTTAAAAACTTAAGAGAAAAGATTCAAATTATAGGACTAAAAATAGAGAATGGTTATTAATGTTTGGGCTTTGGTCTTCTTCTTTTTTCCCAATAGATTGTAAATATTATCAGTTTTAGCAAATTAAAATTAAAGGTCATTCTATTCCCAACTCCGAGAAGTCTAAATGATCTGGCCCACTTACACGAACTTCATCAGCCTTAAACACTCTTATTTCACACATTCATCCTCTTGTCTAAATACAACATAAAAACCCTAACTAAATCAGTCTAAACGAGATCTGTCAGTTCTTGTCCAAATCAGTCGATTAACGGCGGTGGTGCCACTCTCATCACCTCCACATAGTCTTTTCCTCATTTTCAAAGCCATAAAAGGCCATTTTTTGTTAAATATCTGAGCTTGAAGCTCTTTCATTGACTTAATAATTCCATACAAAATTGGCCCAACGAGCCCAAAAAGAAAACAAAAAAATATCTGGCCCAATCCAAAAATTGAACCGACCATCCCTTCTTAAATATCACCCTAGCAGCTAGGGTTTTCAAATTGAGCTCTCTTTTTTCCTCTCCAATGTCGCCGCTGGGTGCTTTCACTAACTCCACCTTCCTCCTTCTTATGCGAAAGGATCATTAACATCTTCCTCCTCTTTATACCACAATTCATCTTTCTCAGCTCGCAAAAGGTGGACCTCCACTATCTTTTGCACTTTTCCCCTTTTCCTTATTTCTTCTGACCTCTTTTTCCTCTTTTGCAGATATTTGCTCCAGTGGATGAAATGGTTATCAACGTGGTTTTGATAGAGCGGCAAAAGGTCATCTCCTCTACTGTAGCTTCGAATAGAAAAGGAAAACCTCGTAAAAATCACCGGATTCAAGCTTTGTCCATGTGATTTTCAATACTAATGGCCTCCAAAATATCCTCCATTTCTCTTTCAGTCTGAAAAGGTAACCCTATCCCCCTTCTTTAATTCTTTTCGCCATTAATTTCTATCTTTTCCTTTGGTGAATTAATCTTTTAATTGGTCTGAAATTACAAATTTTGAATTCACTAAACTTTTTGAAGAAGTTGTTATGCCCAAAACATATCTTATAAAAGGGGTCCTTGCTCAACCCTTTAAATGTCTATGGTTGCAAATTTTCATTAATAGATCTACAATCATGAGATCATTTTAGTTGACACGTTTTGTTTATGAATTTTCTCTTTGATGACAAAATACTTTTATTTCATAATTTTTGTACTTTTGAAGTATTTGTCATTTTAAAAAAAGAACACCACTACAAAATAACCATCATTAATTGCAGCAGCTAATTGATAATAGCGTCGATTATTCAAGTCATGAAATGAAATTTTGTAGTCATAATGCATAAATAGTGACTATAAACATTATATCACAATTTTTTACTTTCATAATTGATAAGATTGAACTTTAATACTTAACATTGTTCCATATTACTGCTCGTTCACATAATGTAACAAATACAAACAGTATTAAAAATATAGCAAAGGTTTAGGTTATAAAAATGTGATGTTGATTACTGGTACTTATTCTTGATCAATGAAAGGCCCTTGAAGCAAGTAAAGAAAGAATTTAGAATTGCTATTTGGAGTACCATGATCTATACACATAAAAAGCAAACAACTTCAAAAAAATTCAAGCCAAAAATGTAGACAAGAAAGATGCAAGTATACAAATACAAAAGGAGATTAAAGAAAGGATTGAACATATGAAGAACTCAAAAAAGCTAATAAATGTTTTTATTTGATTCAACAATTTTATAATTAAATAGGATTACTGGTAATAGGAAGTTGTAATAAATTCTTTCTATTTTGGAGGTCATAGGGATAGGGCTTCCTTTCTGGAAAGTAGTATCTCACTATGTGTATTTGTTTGTTCAATGATAATATTCTTAACTTATTGAAAAAAAGAAGAAGAAAAAAATCCAAAGCTCATACATTAATAATCATTTTGACAATTATCTCTTTTAAATCATATAAATTAAATCTTCTCTCTTATGTCTTAACCCTCGCCTTTTTTTATTACTACATGAAAAAATTGCCTTATCTTAAAATTCTTTTTTCACTTTATTTCACTTTGACACGACTGATACCATCTACAATTGTCGCAACACCACTAGCTACATCATCCCCCACAACTCTACCATCAACCAATGCAAATGATGATGGTGCGACGATAATTGCAGATGACATTGATCATGTCGAAGTGAAGTGAAAAAGGGTTTTATAATAAGTCAAAATTTCTAGATTGTAATGAAAATAACAAGGTTTCATTAAAACTTAAAAGAGAAAATTCAATTTATAGATCTAAAAATGGGAGAATGGTCAAGATTGTTATTAATGTAAATTGTAAATATTGTCATTTTTTCTAGCAAAATTACAGTCCAATACAACGAATATTTTAATTTACTAAATTTCTAGAAGAAGTTGTTATGTCCAAAATATACCTTATAAAAGGGGTTCTTGTTCATCTTTTTAAATGTCTATTGTTGCAAATTTTCATCGATGGGATCAATCGAACACATTGAATCAGGGTAACAGATCAACACTAGGGACTCATTTAAAACTGCAAGCCCATAACGTGGCCTCTTGAGATAGTACAAATGCTCGGCATTTCTATTTTGTATGGGACACATGAGCCTGAGTTTGGTTCTTTTTCGCGTTATGGTGACCCCTATTCATCATCTTCGTTTCCATCTCAACGTTTTGAGGGGTATGGATCTTCTACGATCAAGTCAATACAGGAAAGATCGGATGCCACGCTGAGAGTATTATTTGTGGGTGACTGGACATGCTCCTTTGGAATGTTCATTTCCCAGGCAACTAGTTTCATCTTAGTTATTAACTTAAAATTTCAACAAAACATAAGGTATATGGGATCTCATTTTAAAATAAAAAAATGTAGAGATAATTTCCCCCAAATTTCTTGTTTAAAGAGAAACCCTTTTCCCCAAATTATAACAGATGACCATGCTATTGAAACAACGTCTGTATCTCTATGATGTTTGGATTACACTGCATATATTGTTGTTATAATAGATGACCATGCATTACGATTGTGAAAGTGTTTGGTCGATCATAGTATGATACCTATATTTGAAAACATCGTAAGTTTGATACTTTTGACCGAAGCTTAATTGTCTAAATATGTTTTTACTAAGTACATGTTCTACTGCCAGTACAATGCAAATATCTCTCAAGATTGACTAGCGGAGTCCTGGGCTGATAAACCACTGTCCTCAAAGTTTCAGCCTGAAACCACAGTCCTCAAAGTTTCAGCCTGAAACCACATTCCTCAAACCAGAAGGCTGAAACTTTGAGGACTGTGGTTTATCAGCCCAAGACTCCGCTAGCCGATCTTGAGAGATATTTGCATTGTACTGGCAGTAGAACATGTACTTAGTAAAAGCACATTTAGACAATCAGGCTTCAGTCAAAAGTATCAAACTTACCATCTTTTCAAATATAGGTATCATACTATGATCGACCAAAAACTTTCACAATCATAGTGCATGGTCATCTGTTATAACAACAACATATGCAGTGTAATCCAAACATCATATATAGATATACAGACGTTATTCCAATAGCATGGTCATCTGTTATAATTTGGGGAAAAAGGTTTTTCTTTAAACAAGAAATTGGGGGAAAATTATCTCTACATTTTTTTATTTTAAAATGAGATCCCACAGGACTCATGTTTTATTGAAATCAATTTTAAGTTAATAACTAAGATGAAACTAGTTGCCTGGGAAATGAACATTCCAAAGGAGCATGTGCAGTCACTGTAGTAGCAATAACATTTGAAGGTATCTTACATTAAGAGACAGCTATAAGACATAAATCTCATCCACAAATAATACTCTCAGCGTGGCACCCGTTCTTTCCTGTATTGACTTGATCGTAGAAGATCCATACCCCTCAAAACGCTGAGATGGAAACAAAGATGATGAATAGGGGTCACCATAACGCGAAAAAGAACCAAACTCAGGCTCATGCGTCCCAAACTCAGGCACAGTACAAAAACTACAATACAAATGACAAAAAATAAACACTAAAATAATAGAAAGATGAGATTGTGCAAATATGGAAAGGTATAAGAACTCAAACTGAAAGAAATATTGCTAAGTACTACCTGATCTCCTCGGTGTAATATTTTGTTCTCCAAACTGTATGCGATGCTATTTTTCCAGATTTGATTTGTGATCCAACATACTTCACATAAAAAAAACAGAGCAGAATCACCTTGACAATGCTTGTATTAGTTAAATTTTATCAAAAGGAACTAAATTTAGGCAGCTATAATACCTGATTGTCAGAAAGTAGTGCAACTTGTGTATAGACCTCATCAAACGTTGCATAATCGAACCCATCGAAATCAAATTCTAAACAAGAATTCAACATTTACTACCATCAATACTAAACAGAGAAACCTACAAAGCAAATATTGTAATCGAACCCATCGAAATCAAATTCTAAACAAAAATTCAACATTTTCTACCATCAATACTAAACAGAGAAACTTACAAAGCAAATATTTTAACCAATTTATTCCAAATTTTCAATGAAATTGACACTAAGCAGACGAAAATTATATTAACTCATAACTTTACATCTACAATGCGATATAAATTCGGGTGATGACCTCCACAAATTGCATAGAAATTGGAGGGGTTACTCAACCCTCCACAATATGACGTAATTAGGAGGGGTTATATTACCCTCCACAATAAAATCTCCTCAATTTAAGGCTTTTTCTATAGTGTCTTTTTGCAGATATTTGCTCCAGTGGATGAAATAGTTACCAACGCGGTTTTGATAGAGCGGCAAAAGGTCATCTCCTCTACTGTAGCCTCAAATAGAAAAAGAAAAACTCGTAAAAATCATAAAATTCAAGCTTTGTCCGTGAGATTTTCACTACTAATATTTTCAAAAACATCCTCCATCTCTCTTTTAGTCTTAAAAGGTAACCCCATCTCCCTTCTTTATTTCTTTTCACCATTAATCTCTATCATTTTTTTTGGTGCAATCAATATTTTCACTGGTCCGAAATTTTAAATTTTGAATTCACTTAACTTTTTGAAGAAGTTGTTATGCCCAAAACATACATTATTAAAGACGTCCTTCTTCACCTCTTTAAATGTCCATGGTTGCAAACTTTCATTAATAGATCTATAAGCATGAGATCATTTTAGTTGACACGTTTTGTTTCTAAATTTTCTATTTGATGACAAAATACTTTCATTTCATAATTTTTATACTGTTGAAGTATTTGTCATTTTAAAAAAAGAACACTACTATAAAATAACTATCATTAATTGCAGCAGCTAATTGATAATAGCTTCGATAATTCAAGTCATGAGATAAAATTTTGTAGTCATAATGCATAAATAGTGACTATAAACATTATATCAAAAAAATTTTACTATCATAATTGATAAAGATCGAACTTTAATACTTAACATTGTTCCATATTACTGCTCGTTCACATAATGTAACAAATACAAAAAGAATATTAAAAATTTAGCAAGGTTTAGGTTATAAAAATGTGATGTTGATTACTGGTACTTATTCTTGATCAATGAAAGACACTTGAAGCAAGTAAAGAAAGAATTTACAATTGCTATTTGGAGTACCATGATTTATACACATAAAAAGCAAACAAATTAAAATAATTTCAAGCCAAAAATGTAGACAAGAAAGATGCAAGTATACAAATACAAAAGGAGATTAAAGAAAGGATTGAACATATGAAGAACTCAAAAAACCTATTAAATATTTTTATTTGATTCAACAATTTTATAATTAAATAGGATTACGGGCAATAGAAACTTGTAATACATTCTTTCTATTTTGGAGGTCTTTGGGATTGGGCTTCCTTTCTAGAAAGTAGTATCTGATTACGTGTATTTGTTTGTTCAATGGTAATATTTTTAATTTATTGGAAAAAAAAGAAGAAAAAAGTTCAAAGCTCATACATTAATAATCATTTTGACAATTATCTTTTTTAAATCATATAAATTAAATCTTCTCTCTTATGTCTTAACCCTCGCTCTTTTTTATTACTACATGAAAAAATTGCCTAATAATAAAATTCTTTTTTCACTTTATTTCAATTTGACACGATCGATACCATCTACATGTAGCAACACCACTAGCTACATCCTCCACAACTCTACCATCAACCAATGCAGAAGACGGTGGTGCGACGATAATTACATATGACATTGATCATATCGAAATGAAGTTAAAAGGGGTTTTATAATAAATCAGAATTTCTAGATTATAATGAAAATAACAAGGTTTCATTAAAACTTAAAAGAGAAAATTCAATTTATAGATCTAAAAATGGGAGAATGGTCAAGATTGTTATTAATGTATGGCTTTGGTCTTTTTTCTTCTTCTTTTTCCCCAGTAAATTGTAAATATTGCCATTTTTTCTAGCAAAATTACAGTCCAAACCAACGATTATTTTAATTTACTAAATTTCTTGAAGTTGTTATGTCCAAAATATACCTTATAAAAGGGGGTTCTTGTTCACCATTTTAAATGTCTATGGTTGCAAATTTTCATCGATAGATCTACAATTATGAGATCATTTTAGATGGCGCTTTTCGTTTTTGACTTTTTTTTTAATGAAATTATTAATAGATTGACTGATTTTACTATTTTGTTCCTTGTTCCTATTAATTGGCCTTCGAAAAAAAATTGGATCTTCAAAATTTATTTAAACATCCAAAGGTCATATTAATTGTAGGGTAGAATGGGAAAACATTCATTTTATCCTAATTTAGTAAGTGATCAAGTAATATAAAATAAATATTTTTAGTAAAATGCCCTTCTAATATGAGACGGAGGGAATAATAAATGTCTTTATTTGATTCAACAATTTTATAATTCAATAGGATTACTGACAATAGAAAGTCGTAATAAGTTATTTCTCTTTTTGGAGGCATTTTGGATTGGCTCCCTTTCTGGGAGGTGGTCTGTTTCTTTAGTGTGCGTGTATTTGTTTGTTTTATGGTAATATTCACAATTAATTAAAAAAATAAAAGAAGAAAAAAGGACCAAAGCCCACACATTAATGACAATTTTGACTATTCTCTTTAACCCAATAATTTAATTTTCTCTTAAATTTTAACAATATCCTCGTCATTTTTCATTACAATCTGAAAATTTTGGCTTATTACTAAAAAAATTCACTTCAATTTGACATGATTGGTGTCTTCGGCAACAACCGTCACACTATCGACTGCAACCTCCACAACTATGGAGCTGCGGAGCTTGTAGCCAGTGGTACGGTGACAATTGCAGATGGCATCGATCATGTCGAAGTAGAGTTAAAAAAAAGGTTTTTCTGATAGTTAAATTTTTCAGGTTATATTGAAAACGATGCGGGGTTTCATTAAAACTTAAGAAAGAAGACAATTTATAGAACTCAAAAAAAGAGAAAAGTCAAGATGTTATTAATGGATGAACTTCGATATTTTTTTCTTCTTTTTTCTTTCCAATAAATTGTAAATATTAGTATTATTTTTTCAACAAAATTGTAGTCGCGTCCATTCTATTCCCAACCCCGAATAAATAATTACTCCTTCCGTTCCATTTTATATGTCATCCCTTTCTATAAATAGCTGGACCACAATACTTGTCATTTTATAAAATTTATGCATAAATTACCATATTTTGCCTATTATACCCTTGATAGAATAATTAATTAATCTTGTCATTTATTAATAAAGTTGACTTAAGAAAACATTAAATAAGGGTAGAAGGGTAAAGTTACATAATTTCTTAATGCAAATGCAAAGTAAAAAGGTGACATATAAAATGAGATGAAGGGAGTATAATTATTCGGAGATCACGTCATTTTGTGATTATATGCTATTATTTGAAAAACATGTTTATATTTGTTTGATAGTTATATTCGATGAAGATCCGAGTGAAAAATAACGTTAAATCTGGACATATATTTTTTCATCTTTATTTCAAAGGTCATTAGTATAAGCATAAATTAGTTAATATTCCTTTTGTCTTTAGAATATCTTTCCATTTTTTTAATCACTATTCTAGGTCGATCTTAGCTAGCGTTTGACTATAAATTCTCAAATATTTTTGGCAAGAAACTTTGGGTGAAGTTTCACCTGTTGTGCCGTAATTTTACTTTATTCAGAAAAATCACTTTTTGAAATGTCCTAAGTATAAAACAATTTGAGAAAAATACTTAGAAAAGAGTCACCACTTAATTTTTTAAAGAAACCAATAAAACTTATAATTTTTAAATATTTAAACAGAAAAAATCATTTGAAAATACCAAAATGGGTTCATGGTTCAATTTACACTTCGAGAAGGGTTTAAGCATTCGAAGTGCCCGCTAACATGCGGTTGACCTGTGACTTGACTAAAATATATTTGACTATTTTTAGAAGAAAAAAAAATAATTTAACATAATAACTTATAATATATTTGATTAAGAAAATAATTAAATAAATGACGCATTTTATTTCATTTAGTTTTTTAGAGGAAGGGATCCAAAATGATACATTCGACTCGAAATACAAGTGATTGGAATATTAATAAAACTAGATTAATTAGAATTTATTTAATTCATTTTAAACCAATTTAATAAATTAAACATGAAAACCATTTCTTATTAATTGACTAACCTTTTTTGAGAAAATGACTTAAGTAAGTACTTTTTTTTATTATTATTATTAATCAATTGAAAAGGTTTTGACTAACATTTTTTAAAGTTTTTTTTTTTTAAAAAAATACTTTAACTTAGAACAATTTTGAAATGAGTGAAAAAAGTGATTTAAATGAAGAAGACCCTTAAAGAACATATCTTTTCTTTTAAAAAAAAAAAAAAAAAAATTTAGGAAAATGATTTAACATAAAATATATAATATTTTTACGATATTCGATTAACTTTGATAAAAATAGTTAATAAAGAATAATTTTTTAAATTTTTTAGAAAATAGGATCTTAATTGAAACAACTTGGTCAATTAGGATTTTTAAACAAAATTAGATTAATTAAAATTTATTTACGTCATTTTTTAGAAATAATAATTCGAACCAACTTGGTAGATAAACCAAGAAATTATTTTAATCTAATTAAAGATGAGTGAAAGTTTTGACTAAAAAATATTTGAATAAGTATAAGAGTTGATAAGAATGAATTATTTTTAAAGAAACTAACATAAAGAATATGGTTCATCTTTTGGGGAATTTAATTAAATTAAGTCGCAATTTAAAAAATAAAAAATAATAAAAATAGATAAATAAATAATCACACAATTAAATAAGTTAGGTAAAGGATAAATTGAATTTTGGCCTTTCTTGGGCCTATTTTGCTGAAATTTTTTGGAGTTAATACTAAACCCTTTTTTGTATACACCTAGTGTATATTAGCGTGTATATCTGCCCTTTTCATGCATTTCTTGCTTCCAAACACATGTATTTCCTCTCAGCCCCGTATTTTCACACTTTTCGACCTGTAATTTGATGTACAATGAATGTATTGTTGTATACAATATGTATACATCCCATTTCTTAGGCTTTTGGGACTTGTAATCTGCCCTCAACCTGTAAATCTTCCTCCCCACGATCCACATAAAGATTGGATTAGTCAATTTCATTTTTCTCGAATTTCTTGCATCAATCCACGTCAAACGAGGGACAGTTGTTGACACCCACTTTTGATCCTCCCCGATAGTAATTGATTTTTGAGCTTCTTAATTTTTCAAACGACAGAGAATAATTAGCTTTATATAATTCAAAATAGTTTCAAGGTTATTTTAAATAATTTCAGTCGATTTTTATAGTACTTTGAATGATAAATATATTTCATGTAATTTTATATATAATTAGTATATTTTATGGATACTCGAAAATCGGCTCACAAAAAAAAGAAGATGTTATTTTAAATATTTTTACAAAATTAGTTTAGTTCAAGTTATGGTTATAATTTTAAATCATTGGT